ACAACTGTAAAGTTTTCCTCTTTTCTAATCTTCACTGATCTTGAATATTATGTCTGTCCAACATGTTATTCTCTAATTACATGACGTTTGCATGTTGATGCATATTAGAGAGAGAGCTGAAAGCTCATTTCCCAAAAGCCTGTTTAGACGAAAATGATCATAAAATCTATTATACGAACCTTCTCAAACTTAAAAGGTGTTTCCTAAAAAGGATCGTGACTTTAGATACTATTAGTTTAATAGATAGCACATTTACGAATGCCTCACCAGAGTTGGATGAAGTAATCAGATATTTTACTGAAGACGAAGGTGCATTACCACAGTTTACAATTATATAAGTAAAAACAAGTTAGAGTAACTATTGATGCATTAGTGCATCACTTTAATGTTGCAGCTGGTAAATGCTAATGCTAATTCTAACTACACGCTGCTTGGTAACTTCTATATTTCCCCCTAGGGACCATAAAGCATTATCTTAACCTATAATAATATTTCATAAAGTAGCAGAAAAAAGAAATACTCAAGTAAAACACAAGTATTATAGATGTACCACAGATGAACAAATGTACACAATGCAGCTATATATGTACCTTCTTCTTGGGGCCCGTTGAGGCCTCTGCCTCCATGCAATACTCCAGGATCTTCTGAGTGGGTTTCCTCTTCCGCTTCTTCTCCAGCACAGGAACGTTCACTGTAAATTAAATGTTACACAAAAAGACTCATTGTTATATATTTAATCAGTGGTTCCCTGACTTTAGGCTATTTAAGTCCCAAGAAGGTATAATTATTAAATATTTCACAAAAACAGCTAACTTAGCTCTGTATTGCGCTACATTCCAAATCAGCAGACTTTTTAGCGGTCTAATCAAATGCATTTTACATAAACTTTTACTTGTAATGGAGTATTTCTACAATTTTGTATTGGTATCAAAATACTTATTACGCCACTGCAAGTATCTGGATACCCCAAACTTTTGGTTTGGTGCTGTTTTTCATGGTTTGTGCACCTCAGTTCCAATAAAGGGAAATCTTAATGCTGCAGCATACAACATGTTTAAACAACTGTGCGTTTCAGAGACGGACGTTTTCCTGTTTCAACATGACAATGACCGCCTGCACACAATCAGCTCCATATGAAATGTTTTTCCCAGTTTGGTGTGTAAGCACTTGACATCAGTGGCCAATCTCATTAATGCTCTTGTGGCTGAATGGGAGCAAATACAATCCCCAGAGCCAACATACAAAATCTTGTTGAAAGCCTCCCCAGACGGGTGCAAGCTGTTGTTGCAGCAGATTACTGCCTGTGGTTTTGGAAATGCATGTTTTATAGTCACAAATGGATGTAATGTTTGTGTGTCCACATTATTTTGGCCATTTACCCAGAAGATTTTTCTACTTTGGCTGACAGAACACTTTTGCTCCCTCAAACTGTTTTTGTAACTTTGGAAGAAGGTAAGCAGCAGAGAAAGAAACACAAAGACTTCCTCACCGTTGCCTTTGACGATGCCTTCGGACAGCGAGAGGTCAGATTCAGGAGGAGGGGTTAGTGTGTCTACGGAAAGCACCGGTGCATCTTGGGGGGATGTGTTTTCAGTGCTGGGAATTTGTAGTTCAGGGGGCGTTGTTGCAGCAATTTCCTCTGGAGGTGGTGTCTGTATTTCAGGAACCAAGTTCACAGATGGGGGGTCCTGTGTGCTGCTGTCCGATCCCGGGGGTTCGGACATGGCCGTGTCCTGAGAAAACAAACAACGAGATTTCACTGTCAATCAGTGATACAAGATTTGAGTGTAGCTGGAAACAAGCGGTATTGGATGCCTAATGCGGTAGTATTATGCATATATAACAACATTCGACTATAAAATTACAACAGATCTTACTTTGTATGAATTTTACCTTTCCAATCAACTGGAGAGGCTTTTTAGTTTTCTTCCTGGTGGAGAAAATCTGATCATACTCTTCAGTCCATTCAATCAGCCTCTTGCTTGGTTTTCTAATTCGTTTATGTGCTGAAAAAGATATACAACAGACACTAGCTTTTTAAAATCCGTTGTTTACGGTGTTACTAGACAGCAGAGTGTATTATCACACTTATACCATGGCCACTTGCCAAAGGCAAAGAGATTTGAATTTGTCTTAAGTTTTTTGAGTGAGAGATAGCTTAACTGCTAGCACGGAGCAACTATAGCGGTTTGTTGCTTAATTACAGAAAATACAACAGAGTATTATAGTACTAATTAGGGAAGGACACATGACTGTTAAATCCCACTCAAGAATTGAACGCAGGTGTCTGGGGAATCATTTTCAAAGCTCTCCGTTTCTGCCGATCTGCACTAAAACGCAACCCCAGAGTCTCCAAACTAAAATGGTGTCAGCAGCATTTTTAAACTTCTCCGTTTTAGTGGTTCAAAAGTACCATCAGCAGTTTGCTTTTGCAATGCACCCATGGATGTACAAACAACTTGATTTACAGGCAAGTGTATTTTTCTACGAATTCTAAGCCATATATAGACATTTGATCTCCAATGGACCTCTATAGATTATATCCTCGGACAGTGCAAGTCTCACTGGATCGGAAAATATGTGTATCATGTCTGTGTATTAAGACTTGACAGAATTATGACTCTGAGAAAGTGCCTTTTTTTGTGACGCAAATTGCACACTAAATCAGTGGGCCAAACTACAATAACTACAACTTCTAGATGTTTTTCGGAATGCATCCAGGATTTCGGTCACATTGTGCTTTACAACTTTGGTCAGACTCTTAAATTAGACTGTCCTTACCTTTTGGAGCCTTGTCGCCTTCTCCAGCGTTGTGCATCAAGCTAGTGTTAGTCTCAGTGCAGTCTGCCGCAAGGCCATTTGGCTGTTCCAGACACAGCGTAGTGTCGCACCCCCTCTGCTCCAAAGGCAGCATGTTCTGTAGGTTCTCATTTACTTTGCCCCACCTATCTTCCTCCATCTCTTCCCCAACTACATCTTTACCACCTACAGCTTGCCTCTTCCAGCTGCTGGTCTGTATGCCGAACAGGGACTGGACCCTTGATGAGCAATCCACTCCCGATGAAGAGTCCATTGCTGGCAGGGACTCCAGTCCAGGGAAACCAGGTCCAGACCTGGCAGGACGACAAGGCACTTTGCGGTTGGCTTTCTTTTTCACCCCAGTGGAGCTGCCCCTTCTGTTGTAGGGCCTTTTGGACGTCTGACTTGGGCTCTCCTCATTGTGTTTGATTTCAATTTGGTCTGGACTTAAATACTGATTTTTATTAACATGTTCAATTTGTCGATCTTGGCCTGCGGGTTTCGCCTCTCCAGGCATCACTAAGGGTTCCTCCTTAACATGTGCACTTGGTGGCCCAATTTCCAGTTCTAAGGGGGTCCCCTCTTTCTCTCTTGTGTCATGCAAGTCCTTCAACATCATGAGAAAAGTGCTGAACTTGTAATTTGTGTCTGGTTTAAAAGAGATGGGTTTACCATCGCCCTCATTTGCCAGGGACTGGAAGGATACCTCCTCCAAGTTTTTAAAGGCATTAATAAAAGTAAATGGTGAGGAAGGGGAGGACGAGGAGTGTATGCCAGAGGAATGATCTTCCTTCTTTGCCTTTACCCTAGAAGTCAGAGGTATGAAGTCCATTGGTGGAGTTGAGGATATTGAGAGATCTTCATCTTCGCTCTTAACACCAACATCAAAGTCAACCGAGTCAGAAAACATCGAAGGGGGGGTGCTACAGCTAGAAAATATGTCCTGATCACACTCGCCATTGGTATTATGGGATTTAATTTTAGTGCAAAAGTCCAGTTTGGAATTATGCGCAGAATTACACACACGGTCCTCAGCTTTTCTGTATGGATTTAAGAGTTCTTTCTGCTCAGCCTCCTTTCGGGCTTTTTCACGCTTCTTCTGATCTGCCTCCTGCATGGCCTTCAGGGCTCTGGTCATCAAACGACTGCTGGCTGGGAGGTGGGCAGGATGCTCTTGAAGTAGGACTTTACTGACTTCATCAAGAACCTGCTTTGATTTGTGGACAACTTTCTTGGATTTTGCAGAACACAGGCCTTCGGGTACAGAAGCTTTCCTACATACTAAATTGCCATGCAGGTGAGAAGGTGGACTAGTTGTATTACAAGTTGTACTAGTAGATGTCATTTTTTGATCTGAGCTGCCTAACTGTTCAGATGACTTGCTTGTTACTTTGGATGCAGGGGTCTTCTTACATTCTGACTGTTCTGATTGGTTAAAGGATGAGTAAGTCCCTTTGCTTGGGCTTACATTTACAGTTTCTGGGTTACCCAACTCATCAGACATGTTTGCCACCTCTGAGGCAACTATAGTTTTACCTTGACATGACTCTGATGAGAGACGAAGAATACCAGTCCCACCACTTGCTTTTAACTTCTTAACTGAGACCTTTATGGAATCTGAACTGACGGCCTGATCTATGGAGACACTTGCCTTGCCGTCAACCCAATCTGCCTTTTTAGAGGACATTTTAGTCACAGTAGTATCTGGTATTTTTTCATTCTTTGTACATGTAGGTTGGTCATTGGGACGAATGGTCACACTGGAGTTCAGGAACTTCTTACCCTTTATGTCCTTGCGTATCAATTTGACAAAGGGCAGCCTACACTTAGAAACCAGACTTGTTTGTTTGTCTAGACTTGCTAATGGGTCAGTAGCGTCAACATTTAAAGTGGACGCTGCATTCTTGTTACTTTCTTTTTCTTCAGCTTTGTCAGGAATCCGGTCAATCAAATGGACCTCTTTACTAGCCATAAAGTCAGAATGTTGAGTTTGACTGACTCTCTTTACACTCAACCTGGTTTGGTTTATGAAACTTACTGGACTGGGCTCTAAGGTCTTTTTCACATCTGAGCCACCCGATTGGTCTGACGTTGAGCCAGTAACAATGTCGGCTGTATTACTCACTGTCTGTCTACCCTTTGAATATCCACGCTTGTCAGAGGTCACACTAGTCTCAAAAGAAAGAAGTGACCTCTGCTTGTCTAACAATCCTGACTGATCAGCGGGACTGCCAGTTGTACCAAAAGGCCTATCAACAACTGGGGGGGTTTTACACTTCAAATGTCCTGAATGTTCAGGCGACAGATTTGTATCAGCAGGTACCGGAGTCTTATGCTTGTCTGATAACCCTGACTGGTCACTGGGCCTACCACTGGAGGAGGACGCACTAGGAACCTGTGACTTTTTACTTACAACAGATGAGTTCTTTTTCTTACAGGGCACTTTACTAAAGAGAGTGCGGTCTGGCACCGGACTGGATGTTTTAGGTCGTCTGTCTTTGCCGGATTTACTGAACCAAAGACCACTCTGAATCTCTGGCTGCTTCTTCACCTCTTTGACAACTGTGACAGATGGTGGAGTCGGAACTGGCTTTGACTGACGTTCAAGTGATTTTGGACATAAAATCTTAGGGACTGAGTCGAGGTCAGAATATGGGCACTCTCCATTGTCTCTATTCGATTGGTCAGGGCTATTATGCAACGTCTTTTTAGAGTGTTTACTACTCGTGTCCTTCGACGATTTACTTGGTTTCTTCTTGCCAGTAGATTTCCTTAAAGTGCTTGTCTTTGCTGGAGTTGTAATTGGGGATGAAATGGATCCATTGGTAATCTGCAATGTCTCAGGAAGGGTGGGTGAAGTGGCGGGAGGAAAGGTTGGATGGGCCATGTTCTTTCTCTTCGGTGTGGAACTGTCACGGAAGGCATCGTCTATAGACGAAGGAATAAAGGAAGCTATTTTGGGTCTCTCTTGGAGAACAGATTCAGCTTCTGCCACACTGGATTTCCAAGAGTCCTGAAAACGCTTCGCAATCTGCAGAAAGATAAAGGTAAACACAACTCAATCTTTGCACACATAACTTACTAGTCTACAGAATAATATCTTAATTGTAACTGAAGTCATTCCTGAACAAGTCTGCAGCCTTTATTTTATTGTCTAACACAATGATCACCCAGCAATGACGATTTAGATCAACGTTTTATTAGGGCATGCAAGCAGTGACTCATTATTCTTAAAATAGTAATTACAGTGTATTTGTAGTTCTGCTCCCTTTGCTTCCCCCTTCGGCGAAGTAGGGGGAGCTGTTCAAATTCAAAGCCTCCGTGGAAACTGTGAGTTGCTTTGTCCTCCACCCAGGTGAGCTCCACGGGCTCCCCAAAGGTCCTGACATGGTAGAGCCGACAGGGACGGTCACTCGGCTCTAAGACGACAACAAACACCAGCCTCAATGTCTTGATATGAGATTTAAAACTACATCATCCTGCACAGTAAATACATCTGTGCGTCAGCTAAGCAAAGGGAGCTTTTAAATGCAAGAAACCTGGACTCTCTACAACTACAATCAAATGTGCATAGTAGTATCAGGATGATTTTTGAGCATGTACTATACATGATTTATTAGACAGTGGAAATAAGATAAAACCCACAATACCAGCAGTTTGTGGTATCTAACTCTAGCTGCTGAGACATTAGGGTAATCCAGCTTTAGACAATAGTTTTTATGACTAGAATAAAACTGTACGAATCAACGACTGCGAAGGAAAACCATCACATGGGAAAACAAATTATTTTATAGCATAAAAGCATAAAAGGGGATGTCAGGGGATGCAAGGGCTTGAAATAACTGCTTTAAAAGGGATGTATGATGTCAAATTCGGAGATCCATTGGTGGAATGTATAATGTAGTTTTTGATAGCATGAATACAAATTACGATCTAATTTGAAGATGTTCTGAAACTTTTCTAGCATCATGTTTCTCTCCGCTTGGTAACATGGCCTAATAAGGCAATTTACTGCCAACCAAAACAATCCGTAGAGCAAATCAAACAACTGAAGACAATCCTTGTGCGATGTAGCCAATCACATGAAGTCAGCAATGTCTCAGGCCCACCTTTTACTTTGTGATAGATTCCCTGTGTCGGGTCAACGGTCACCTCACACGGCCACCATGGTCTTCGGTTGAACTTTGCCCAAATAACTTCACCCTCTAAAAACTTCACAGGCGGCAAAGACTTTTTCTTGGGGCTGTTCTGCTGTCAACAACATGACAATGAAGAAAGAAAACTGCAATCAGACAACTGAAAAAAAAGACATGTTCTCACCAGATCATAGCTACGGATGTGTTGGTTGCTTGTTACTTTAGCATGTCCATCGTGACCCCCTGATGTGCATTTACTCTACTTTCAAAGACATCAACATAGACATGTCGCATAATCCATGTGAGGATTCACCGATGGCAATTATACATGTCTACCTGCTGATCCTCCAAGACTGTGTATTTAAAAAACACATACACATACATACGTACGTATGTATATATACACACATACATACATACATACATACATATATACATATACACACACATACAGACACATACATACATACAGACACACACATACATACATACACACACATACATACATACACACATACATACATACACACACATACATACATACACACACACACACACACACACA